CTGCCCTATGAGGACACACGATCACCGCCACCATTTGCGTCGTTCAGCTCCCGAAACGAACGAAAGTTGTTAGAGAAAAATGACCGAGACTAGCCTCGGGTCACCTCGTTCGTAGTACACGAAACCCCATGCCTGCTATGAAGACCTACCAAATAATTGAGGAGCAAGGCTGCAAGACCAGTCCCCGCTCATAATATTCTCCTGACGTAGTCCCCTACGACTGCTACTTGCTCCGCCTCCCTTAGGGCTTTCTCAGCTAAGAAAACTTTCAGCAATTTTTGATGACATCAGTTGAAAGGCTGCCGAATTACTCTACTCGTAGCCTTCTCAGCTCTGGGAGGAGGGTAATGCTTACCTGCCCATTGCCTGGGAGCACTGTAGTGGCTAACTATGACGAGTATATTGTTGACTAATTCCACTGTATATTGTAGGTAGATAAAAAAAGAAAAAAGTCCAAACAGTGACAAGACTTTCCAGTTCAACCTGTAGAGCAGTCAAAGACCAACGGCACCGCGCCCCGGCCCTCTGTTCAATATTACCAAGCGTGCGCTGACGCGCACTATTCTATGGACCTATGGTAATGGTACTGATCGCTGACAGGATTTCTGTACTGACCCCAAACGCTTGGCCCAATTCCCATTTTTTTTTTCTGCTGAGTACGCCCAATTCATTATATTTCTCCTGTTTAACGAACGTTTGCTGATTTCTGGTGCTTATCACATTTCTGAGGAACACTCACCATCCGTTGGAAATAGGACATCTTAGCGCGGTTGAAAGACTTCGATGGTAATAACATCGACATCATAGTGAAATATCCTCACACCAGTCGGATCGCCCGGCTAACGCCGAGCTCTCCTCCTTCTTGGAAGCAACTACTTTAGAGCCTCACTTCTTAACTCGTGAAAGAAAGGAACAAAGAGGCATAAGCAGGGCGATACTACTGTCTTAGGCATTTATGATCTCTCATGGTGCCTAACCGGTGTCTTCTAATCAAATAAATGTAGGAACGTGCCATATAGTCGCAGGGCACATCACTTTTATAATGAAAGGTTTGAAATCTGGTCATGGATAACCGATTACTGTCCTCCCCATCTTATGACAGCCACGGATTCTTCGGTCTCCGCAGTCGCTGCGTGCTCCTGTTCAGGCGAGTGTTGGTAGCGCCAATATGGTACCCCTTCACCTCACCTATCCCCAAACTAACCTCAGCTATTCCCCGCTCAGCCACCCTACAGGTCACGCTCAGCTGCTACGCGAATAGCCCGTGCAATGGTTCTGAGTGCACTAAATGGTTGTGTTATGTTGTGGAGGGTGTTATGACTATCAAAACGCTACCACAATTTGATAATGCAACATTAATCGGTTCAGTTCCGATTGCGGTCGATCCATTTTCTTCCCATCTTGTCGCAACCGTAGACGCCTTACCGCCGCAGGGGCTATGTGCTCCTAATCGCGAAATCGCCGTTCTCATCTGGTATCCCCTCACCACATCATATCCCACTGACCCTATTTAACCGGCACCCACCCCGCACGTGGTATGCAGCCGCCATGCAACATAGGGACACTACTCCGCCACTGTTCTTACCACCGCCTTGCTCGTGCTCACGTCCAGCTCCCAAGCGAGCAGCTCCTGCAGTAGCACAGAGTATATCACAGTGGTTGGCTTAGATAGGGGAGCGATTCACAATCCAAACAACTTCTTAGTTCGTTGCTGTAACATGGATTAGCTTGCAGTTTTGCTAGCGGTTCTTTCCTTCTCTCTTGCCGCCTGCTCCTATTCAAGCGTACGCTACGCATCCCCTTACTGTACCCAGTTTGCCCGATTCAATCCATATGCCTCCTTCCCCTGCATGGGCTCAGACGACTGAGTACGCGCAAGGGAAGTGAGGATGGGAGAAGGGGTCACTCGATACTAACTCCCACCTTCCTCACCTCACCCCATTCCGCGCCTCCCCCGTACTCCGCCACTCACCCCCCCCCCCACCCCACCTTGCCCCTTGCACGCGCTTACGTCCAACTGCCACGCGAGCAACCCGTACAATGGCTCGGAGTGTAGTGGTTTTCTTATATAGTGGAGAGTGTTATCACAACCAAAACAACTTCTTAGTTCGTTACGGTAACTTAGATCGGCTTGCAGTTTTGTTAGCGGTTGTTTCCTCATCCCTTGGTGCGCGTTTCTACTGAAACGCGCGCTACCCCCTCACTGTACCCCCCTCCCGCGACCCTCCCCTCTGCCTCCCTCCCATACACTTGCTCAGCTCCGGCTGAGCACGTGCAGGAGAGGGAGGCAGGGCGACCCGGTACCCCCACCCTGCCCCCGCACGAGCACACGTCCAGCTGCCACGCCAGCAGCTCGTGCAATGGCTCGGAGTGTACCGAATGGTTGTCTTATATAGCGGAGGCTGTTATCACAATCAAATCATTGGACTGCTACATCCTCCCAGTCGGTTACCGGTTTGCCTAGCGGTCGTTTTCGCCTCCAGCGAACTCGAACCCGTGAAGTATTTTGCGGACGGACAGACAAACATACATACAAACCTACATACATACAAACATACAAACCGACACACAAAGTTACTGGTTTATAGAATGAAAGGATTACATCCTAATACTTCCGTTGAGCAGCTTCCAGGGCTTTTAATTTTCGTCGAAACTCGAGAGCTTAGCGGTCGAATCAGTCCCAACCATATCACTAAGGGATAGAATAACTTGACTCACTAAGCCTCTGACCATTGTTTCTTGGGCACCGGGTTGAAGTTTAGGCTGAGAAGGGTAAGGATGCGAACAGATACTGATCCTTATGAGCTCTTTCCTCACACTATATCACAACTTATCTCCCTTCACCAATGTTCCTTAACCCCTTCTGAATGACTTTGCTGAAAACAGTTCCCAAGTGTTGCTACAACTCGTGCTATGAACTTCGGGGGCACCCTCTTTCAAAAAGGTCCATGGTACCTTACCAGCTGTTATCACGTTCTGCCACCCACCAATAATGTTCCCATCCTGCCCCCCCCCCTATTAACTTCTTGGAACCAACGTCCCGTAGTCGCTGTGGGCCGCACTATGTGGCCCTTCCTTTCTAAGGCCCCTTGTGGTATCTTATCAGCTGTTATCACTTCCTGTCACCCACCAATAATGTTCCGTCCTGCCCTATCTACCTTCCATCGCTGCTGTGGCAGGTGTTATGAATTAGGTAACCCGCTCCTTCTAAGGCTCCTTATGGCGTCTTGTCAGCTGTTATCACTTCCTGTCACCCACCAATAATGTTCGCGTCCTGCCCCCTATCTACCTTCCATCGCTGCTGTGGCAGGTGTTATGAATTAGGTAACCCGCTCCTTCTAAGGCTCCTTATGGCGTCTTGTCAGCTGTTATCACTTCCCGTCACCCACCAATAACGTTCCCATCCTGACCCCTTATTCTTACTGGGCAAGCCAGCTCTATCTTTGCTGTGACGCGCGTGAATTTGCTGACTTGCCTTTATAAGGCCCCTTATGGTATCTTATCAACTGTTATCACTTCCTGCCACCCACCAATAATGTTCCTGCCCGACCCCCTACATCACTTATAAGTTTGAGCGCTTTATCGCTATTTTGAAGAAAGTTATGAATTTCCGGTCAAACACACACACACACACACACACACACACACACACACACACACACACACACACACACACACACACACACACACACACACACACACACACACACACACACACACACACACACACACACACACACACCAACAGACAAACTTAGCGGATTTATATATAGTAGGATTATTCGCCGGCCTAAGTGGTTAAACGTGCTTTTGCTTCCTTTTTCTCGCGTGCGTTCAGTACGAACGCGAAACGACTCCCCCTTGGTTCAGCGACCCAAAAAAGGTGTATATGCCATGCCTTTCTTAAATTCTGACTATTTGAACTGACAGTCCGCCCCATCATTGGTGGTGATCGTCGACCTTATACATGACGCACAAGGCATTTTTTTGTTTTCCGGTTCGTGATGAAGGTGTGGTGGCTCTGGATATTTGAGAATTTGAGGAAAGTCGCGTGGTTTTCTTCTTCACATGCAGGCGCTCCTTGCATGAAAATCTAGGGAAGTTTCATGGGGGCTTTCATCAAATGTATGGTCTGAGGATATGATCACCCTTCAGTCCCGCCAACAACGTCCTAACACAGGACTTTTAACACTTGCTGTCGACTAATTGCCATCATAGTTATCTGAGAGGATAAAAAACTTGCTTTGACGTCGATTCGTCGCCGAGAAAAATTACATAGGAACTATGCATTTAGCTCTCTTACCGGCATTAAGTGGAAGTCCAGTGCTCGACGCACCCCGAAAAACTGCTATATTCTTCCCTTTGAGAGTAGTTTGGAAGAAAAAGTAAGTTCCGACCAGCGCTTCATCCATCCTCATTCGCTTGTATGTGTCGGTCGAGCGGCCGTTCGCTCTATAATCGCGTTATGCCCCATGAGTATGGCAATCTTTCAACGAACGGAAACGGGCGGCGATCATTAGTTCGCCTGTTGTCTCTGAAGGGACATACGGACCTGTTTGGTCATCAAGTGCGCCGGCTACTAGCGCATAGCCGCTTCGTAAAAGCCTGCTTTCTTCCCATGTTTTTCGTTTACCATTTGCTAGCTACTTGGAACTTGCTTGTGCTGTTGGAAAACCAGAAAAAAACCCATTCTTTACTGCATTACCTGAGTTTCGTTTTTGTTTCTAGGGTTATCGATACGGATCCACATTACGACAGGTTACCCATAAAGAGAAGAGACTCGAAAAGGCTTCCGACGACGGGTTTCCAAAGCTACGGTTATTGGTGAGTTTTGAGCGGTTTCATATCCCACTATCTTGTAACATTTTCAACAGATTTGCAAAAACATAATATTATGGCTATTATAACATAACATTATTGCATTAGAATTGTGGGACGGAAAAGGTGGAGAGTGGGCGTGGGAACACGACCATTCAACACGATTCTTGCCCGTTTTGGTCTTTTTTTAAGCTAATAAAATTAAATTTATCCACATTGACTTTTTAGGATGCAGTGTGGCTTTCAGCGATATATAGCATTTTCATTGCAAGTTTACGACTTTTCAGTATGATTTTGATTTTCAGATCAAATTAACGACCTTTCAGTGAAATTCAAGACTTTTCAATTCAAGTTCAAGACTTGCTGGAACATGCCCCATCGGGCACTACTGCAAGCCCCGCCCTGACGACCACGCGCACATTACAGCGTTGTTATGATTTTTCAAGTTTCATTTCATTACTTCTGCTTCTGTGACTTTCCTGCACTTTTGTTCTTTCGCACATGCACTTTGACTCAAAAGGACTGGACACCGACACACTTTTGACCAACCCCCTCTCCTTTTCTTTCTGATGGATTTGTTGCCACCTCCAAATTCATAACTTTTTTCGCGACATCGTAGTTTCATACTTTTATACCCTTTTCACACAAAGGACTTTTTGTATACGCCTGGAGGAGTACCGCATGTTCGTGGAAACGCCATGGGGGGCGGGGGGTGGCTCGTACATGCGGGCTGCTGCGGAAGGGGGGCGGGGGCGTACCTCAGGGTCAGCTCACAGCGGCAGTGCTGTCGACATTTCAAGGTTGTGATAGTGGGGAGCGGAGTTATGGAAGTGAACGGTCGCTAAAAAAATGGAATTTCATTGATGAGTGTATTCTTTAGCGGATTACTGCTACGTTTACAGACTCTTTTCCTGCGAAATCCGAAAAAATGGGTTGTAGCTTGGGACCCGCGAGGCGACTTGGAGCGTGGCGAGTAAATCGGGCCTACAGTAGGCTCGCTAAAAGCATTGCAAACAGTACAAAAGTGTCATGCTGCTACGTGGTAAGTTAATGGACGGACGAAAGCTGGCAGAAAGAACCCGGATGTAGGACTAGCAAAATAATGGAAAAAATTCATCAGTAATTATGCACAGATAGCAAGAATAATAAATCGACAATAAATAATCTAGATAATTGAATAATACTTGTAAGAGAATGACGTAGATGACTAAAATAATACGTTTCAAACAGAGTCGTGCGTACTGTCCTTTCCAAACCCTAAACAAACATCTGCTTGCATGGATAAAAGCACCTGAAATCAGAATTTACACCTTTCCACCACCTCTGCGGGAGCGTAATGCACGGCGCACACTCGGACCAAATCGATCAGTGATAACCAAGCTCTTCTTTCACTCATTTGAGTGGGAATATGTGTTTTGAAGGCATATTGGAGTTCTTGAATGAGTATCCTCATGGCACGGAAGGAGTCGATTTTTTGGTTCAAAGGATAGAGCGTCGGTAACCCAAAAATATCTCCTGAACTAGCGGTCTTCAGGAAAACTGTAAAGCTTATTGGAAAGAGAAAAGATAGGGCGGTTTCAAGACGATTTTAATCCTGATGAAATTGCGTTCGAAATAAGTAATCCTCGTGTGAAGCATAAAAACCCGCTTGCCATTTACCCCTAGCCGATCCGAAACCCATCCGAAATATTTCACGAACGGGGAAACATTCAGATTGCAACTGGGTAGAAAACGCAACAGTAGGAACATTCCCGTTGCATGCTAACCATTCATCAAAAGCCGCGCCCCTCAAAGAGATATAACCCCCCCGAAAAGACCCCAGGACGTTGGCAGGCCCTCCAATGACGTTTTTCCAATGAAAGCGGTCGCAACGTTGCGATCGATAATAGCCAAGTATAGAACGATATACTGCCGCCTGGTTATCCA